ATAATATAATATAATATAATATAATATAATATAATATAATATAATATAATATAATATAATATAATATAATATAATATAATATAATATAATATAGCAGGATAAAACTTTTATTCTTCTTTTGGGCCCCACCTCAGACAAAGGCCCTGCCTAACATCCCCCCACCCCCATTTTGCGCCCTTGCTAAATTTTAACATGGTGCTTTGATAGTTCGCACCCACACAGAATGCTCCAATATGCTCTACTGAAGCCTGCTTATTGAGTAAAAGGATGATAATTATCCAAGGTTTGAGTTAAAGTAGAAGGAGTGAAGATCCCTGTGATTGTTTACAGATATGCCAAGCATTATATGGAGAATAATGAAGCCAAGAGGACCCTCCTCAAAGTGTTTGGCATCAGGTTTGATATCATAGTGCAATCACTGGTGAGTGCAATTTTTACTTGTTTTCTGTGAATTTTGAATTGAAACTAGGAGAAAAGTTAGCTTTTTTAACTGGAGGCTTTTTTTTAAAGGCAAGAAAATTTGATATAATTCCAACACTCACAGCAATAGGCTCAGGCGTGGGGATTTTTGGAGTGGTATGTTTCTGCCCATCATTCCTAAATGAATACATCAACAATAAGAGTCAAACACACAAAACATTTTTTTTTATCTGTAGGCGACTGTGGTCTGCGACTTGGTGCTGCTCTATTTGCTACCAAAAAGAAAGTTTTACAAGAACATGAAGTTCAAATATACAGACACTCACACACAGGTAAGTTCTGTTTTCTTTTAGTTTTACTTAAACACACCATGAAAGCAGTGAGACTATCACTGGAAATGAGTTCTTGAGGTTAAATCTTTTTCTGAAAACCTTTTGGGTTTTGATTAAATGTACTCTGATCAAGCATAACATTATGACTAGGTGATGTGATGAACACAACTCGTTTTTTTTTTCTTATGCTAGAATATGGAAAATTAGTGAGGAAGAGAGATTTCAGAAACCTTGACCTGTGTCAAACTGTGCTGCCTGTTCAGCATCATCACAGCAGCTGCTCATTGGGGCTGTCAATAAAAGTGCTTGAAGGAAGGTTGATGACAGGGTTAAACCAGTTAGGGCTGCTGTCTGCAAAAAGATTGGCCTTTTTCATTCTGCAGGTATGCTGCTGCTTTTCTCATGGGCTCTGCTTGCGTCACCTCCCCTAACTCGGCTTTGCAGATTCATTTTTCCTGTTGCACTGGCCTTCTTATAAGCTACTAAAAAAGTTCATGCACATTCTAAAAGAACAATAATAAATTATCCAGTAAAACACGCAGTCATAAAAACAGGGTCATATATCAACATCATATCTATTTTTGCTCTTTAATCAGGTTTAGGACTTTTTCTTTGACATTTAATAGCAAACAAATATAGATATCAATTCTATATCTAAATATATCTATATTTGCTAAATATTTTTCAACATCCTAATTCTATATATAAATGTTTTTTTCTTCTAAATTTTAAATACATACCTTAATCTAAAGATAGATCTGATCCACAAGATCTTCCAGTTTAGGAGGATATTTTCTAAGGATCCATCACAAACTTGGCAGCTTCCTCAGTGCACCTTTTGGCGTACTGTGGATTGCATGAACAGAGAGATCAGGGATGATTTGGCACCAAGTGGGGAACCAGTATTCTACTGTGGTCATTCTACTATGCATGTTCAGAAATCCAGTGCACAATCATCAGATTGAGATAAAACAGATTATTGTGGACTAGGACGCAGCCACCTGTGTGCAGAAAAATAAAGCCAGTTATCAGGCAGATCGTGATTTCTCCACCTCCCGCACTGAAAGCTCTTCTTATCATGAGAGTGCCCTCTGTCCTTCCAAGAGCCTTTTGTAGGCCCAATACCGCCCTCAAACACTAAACCTAAGCACTTACCCTTCGTTTGTGCATCCCTGCTGAAGGTCCGCCACATTAAGGGGTGTCCAAAACCACATAGTAGCTAGGGCAAGTGGACCATTCAGCCCTTAAATAGTCAGAATCTGTGTAGGCACTTGTTTAATGCCCCACAGCTACAACCACCCACACTGCCATAGATGCGACTGCTTTCCTTTTCTGTTGGAGGGAAGAAGCAGTCCAATTTTAATTTTTACCCCCCCATCACCACCCTGCACCCCTGAACCCACCTTCAATCAAGGCGCCTTCCACAGCTGAGAGTGAGACTTTATTGGGAGTGAAAATTGATAGCTAAGGGTTAGTGCTTGGGGGGCGGTTCGGGATTCAACTCTAATCTGCAGCTCTCACATTCAAGACCCTCAGCTCATTCTGATCCCTCCCCCACTCTGAGGCCACACCACATTCAACAAAAACTGTCATGATTTGCATCTTCTTGGTGTTTGTTAATCACACCCTCCTGTGTTCTGTGTAGTTTCCTTTCCTCTTAATTGTATTCAAGTTCATTTCTTGTTTGCTTTTGTTGTCAAGTCCTCTGTATACATTTCTGTTTCCCTGGTTCCCTTTGTGTCCAGTCAGTTTATCCCTTTCATTAAAATGTATGTCCTTCAATGTGTTCTTGTCGATGTCCTGCTGCAGCTTTCAGTCCTTCTCAGCCTCATAACATGACACCAGGACATGACCTCCAGAAGAATCAAGCAACAGCAGCAGAGGTAATCACTGTTAGAGTACTTCTATCACCAAGTGGTAGTGACTTAGTGTGAAGTGGATAAGCAGCGGCAGCCATTATGGGCCCTTCTACAGGAGGTGCTCCCCTTCATCATGATGTGCTTCTAAAGCTGAGAAGACTCTGGTATAAACAGGTTTGGTGCTTGATGCCCTGGACTGTTTCCTTGAAGGGTGGACAATCCTTGTGCCACTTCCTCCCAAACCTGCTCCTTGGTTCCTTATAGGTTTTCAGGGAGGGATCCTGCAACAATGCCAGCTTCACAACCCAATACCCTGCACTAGAACCTCCTCCTCCCTCTTGGCAGCATCTGAACTTTCTCTCCAGGTTCTTCTTCCTGCATCTTCCTTACTGACTATTCAGACAGCACTTGTTGAATTTGAGTGTCCTTAACAATTTCCACTAAAGTCACCAGAGCTAGCTGGTTGTCTCCAGGCATCTCCGAAGTTCCTTCATGGTCTCCAGCCCTTAGGTTTGCCCTTTAAGGAATATCCCCCTGATTGACTTGGTTGACTGGCTTGTGTCTGGACTCTGCTTGGAGCCCATATCCACCCTTAGGGATGGGATAATGTTATGATTCAGACGTTATATGTTTTTCTGTCGTTAACTACACCCATTTGTCTTCCATGTAGTTTTCTTTTCTTCTCACTGGTATTTAAGTTCTGTTCCTCTGGATCCATGTCATCAAGTCCTCGGTTTATATTGTTGTTTCCTTGGTTCTTTCCGTTTCCTGTTCATTGCGTCGCAAACGTATTCATACCCCTTGAACTTTTCCACCTTTTGTCACATTACTACCATAAACAGAGATTTATTTTGTTGAAAATTTATGCAACAGTGGTATACAACTTTAAAGTAGAAAGAAAATTAACCATTAACCATTGTGCCAAGGTATTCAGCCACCTGGGTAAAAACTTTGTCGAACCACCTTTTGCTGCAGTTACAGCTTCATGTCTTTAAGGGTCCATCTCTATCAGCTTTGCCCATTTAGTGACCGAGATTTATCCCCATTCTTTGCTAAACACCTCCAGCATGGTCAGATTAGATGGAGAATGTTTTCAACACCAATTTTCTTAACTGGGTTCAGGTCTGGACATTGATTGGCCCATTCTAACGTCACATGTTTCTTTTCTTTTTTTTAAATGAGTGAGTCAGTGAGTGAGTCCTACTGGAATGTAAACCTCTGCCCCATTCTCCAGCCTTTTTAGATGGTGCTGATGATGCTGCCACCACCATAACTGACAGTGAGGATGGTGTGCTGTGATGTGCATTGTTAGTTTTGCACTTTGGTCAAAAAGTTCAACTGGGGTCTAATTTGACCAACCTCTTCCATATGTATTCTGCATTACCAACATGGATTCTGGCAAACTGCAGATGGGACTAAACCTAAACTCAACCGTTGGTCTCTGCAGTTCGTGAGCCTCCATGAGCTGCTTGGCTGCATCTTTGACTAGTACTCTTCTTGTCTGGCCTGTAAGTTTATCCGTCTCATTTGGTTTGTTCTTTGGACTTCATGATGCTGCTTGCTCCCCAATATTTTCCTAAACAAACTTTGAGGCCATCACAGAGCAGCTGCATTTGAGATCACGAGTCTCTGCTGTCATTAGCAATCATGAGGCGACTACTGAAGGTGATTGGTTGCACTCAGAGAAAGAAAAAAAAACTTATATATTCTCTTTGGAGTTTACAGTTGTATACCACATAAAGGGAACGTGACAAAGTGTGGAAAAGGTCAAGGGGTATTAATTCTTTTGCAAGCCACTGTGTGATTCCTACATGTACCTGCAGATTTCCTGCTGAAGCCTTAAATCCTTGGCCACCTTACAACATGACCTAAAACAGGTGGGACATTTTTATATTTCCAGTAGGACAGCAAGTCCGTCCGTTTAGACTCAAACCTATTACAGCCTTGAAGCAAATTAAAGACAAGCCCAAAGTCAGTGCAACGCGAAGCCCGGACATTAGAGTAGATCATGTTCATCTTAGCAGTAGACTCTACTGCAGTGAGTTTGTTTACATAGTATTGAATAGTTCCTGTTCTGTGGTTCAACAGGATCCTGATTCAGAGGCTGGAAGCACAGAGACAGAGGTATCTCAGTGTTACAAATGTAGAACACTAAAGCCTGGATGATTTGATCTCACTGATGGCTGTCATGTTTTATTCCTCAGCAGAAGTAAAGCCAGTGGGAAGCCATTTTCCAAAGTGAACTTCAGAGGAACTTCATCATGACATGGAGGGAAACTCAAGCACAGACATTGGATCTTTAACATAGACGTCCTTCCACTCCATAAACTAAGCAGTGACTGTAATTATCTCCGTTTTAGATGAAGCCATCTATATACAAATTGTATGTGTACTTTTTTGGGTGTTACTCTGCTGTTCCTAAGATGGGTGTAACCTTCACAACTTCAACCATGTCTGAGATATGAAGATGTGGAACTCTGTGTATTCTGTGTGCACATACATGGCCTCACCCGGTTTACCCGTCATTGCAAATAAGGAGAGTAAACTTGTGTTTGCATTTCTAACTATAAACTGATTCAATGTTTAAACTGGTGATTCATCCCATGGGTACATTACATGACAGACAGATGGATTAAATAAACATTGTTTCCTGTTTTTTATTCACTGAAAACAGCAACAAACTTTCAGGTCCTCAGAGGGTTGTTTTTAATATTATTATTGTTTCCGTCCATGTTGAGTGGAAAAAGCATGTGAAAAAATAGCTTATTCATATTGATAAATTTTTACATAGTAAAGGCATTCCATAGGTATGTGTCATGCTTCAGTTTCAACAGGTGAGTACATTCAGGTGTGAAACAGGCATCAAACAAAAAGAGCAGAAATGGACTTCTTAGGCCCCGTCCACACGAAGCCAAACCCTGGCCTAAACGCACAAATTTTTCACCAAACCAGCCTCTCATCCATACGAAGCCGGCGTTCCGGAGGTCTGTAAACAATCTTTTTTTTATTCAGCCTTCAGAGTGGGAAGATTTTGAAACGCTGTTT